CTCACTCCTTTGAAGTATCTGGATGGAATAACAATGCTTCAACAGTAATTCCGAATATCTCTAATAATAGTGGCACTGTTAATGACAACGTTAAATGTAAAAAATCTCGGCTTAATGATTAAAAACATAAGAAATGTTTTTAATGTAATTATTTCAATTGCGGTCATCTTCATTTTTGAAATCCATTCCTTACTTTATCTCATGTTTTTGACCTTGTGTTGTTTTTCTCAGTTTATTGCCAGTTGTTGATAATTAATGTATATATGTGCAATTCCCCGTTATTATGTCCTGAAAATAGTAAGCGATATTGTCGACTGAAATTTTGATGTGATCCTTTGCTCAATGAGAAATATGCTCGGGGATGTGTTCATTTTATCTCATCTAAAAGTTTGTAAATATGTGGTTTTTGGATATTCATGGTGGTGATTTATACAAAAAAATGTGCGTTGCTTAATAAAACACATTATACTGACTGATTATTTATCACATCTCATTTTTAAAGAAAAAACTTGAAGAATTTTTTCCTTTTAGAAAAGTAATGATAGAACAATTCATAAACAGGAGAAGATGCACACCTTGTCGCAAGAATACCCTTACAGCAAAACATAAGGATTCTTGAGTTCTGTAACAAATAAAGAATGCTTAGTTCATATATATATATATATAGAGGGTTAATGCTCGCGCTCGAAATAATCTGTGATTGCAATCCTAATTCAAACGCAGAAATCTAGAAGGTATAATTGTCTACCAAAAGTTACTGCATTGTAATCAGTCTATACTTGCCTTCCCTGAAAAAACTGGTCGATTTTATCTGATTTAATAAACATTAACTCTTACGAATTGATCTAAAAGATATTACGAGTGATACACAGGTGTAGAACTAAGCTTACACAAACTAGACTTGAAACATTCATCACTGTTTTGATACGTTGTATCAACAACGATAAACTCATTCAGAACCACTTTTCAAGTTCTGAAATTATTGAGATTTGTTAGCTGAATACTTTTTTTTCTGGCTTTTTTTTTACAATAAGATATAAGCTCTAGAATTATTGATATAATTCTAGATATAATTCTAAAATTTCGTGTATAGAAATTCTCAAGTTTCCAGATTCTACATTATGGAGCGGATTTATTTGTGAATGAGCCAATTTTGTTTAAATTTGATTTAACAAACAATGGCCTAATTATATTTCGTAATTTAGGTGGTAGTATTCATTCATTGTTGCGAGTGTTTGATGAACATGGATTACCTCCAAAAAGACGCTATTTATTTCTCGCTTAGTAACAAGTTTCTCTTCTAATTTTATACATCATAGAAAGGTAACTATCATCTCTTCAGTTGCATTCACTCATTTATGTTATTTATGACAACATATCACTAATCTATGTAATTAATACAAATCTGGTAGATTCTGGAATGTGCCAGAAGTCTCGTAAGATCTTTTTCTTCTCATATTTGATCTTCCATTACACCAAGCAGCGTACTTAAAACATTAAAATCACTACTGTTGTAGCAAAAGCAAAAACTTTGTTAAAATTGGAAAAAGAAAAAAAGAAAAATATAAAATGGAAATGTACATATACAACTATTATATCAAACAAACATTGTACTTCAGCTTTTTTTCATTTTTTTTTAGGCTGCTATGTTGGTCGTGGAAAACAGAAACTGCAAATAATCATACTACTGGTACTGATGAAGCTTCGATGGCCAGAAGATGTGGTTCTTCTGCGCAGTAATCATGGGACAATGGAACTAATGAACGCTAGTAATATACCAATAACAAGCCGTCAAAATCTTTTTTCTGAATTGATAAAAATGACACATTTTTTTCTTTTCACGATTTTTTGTCAAAAAATGTGGTACCAGCTGCTATATTTCCGTACTTTATGATCAGAATGATAATGTTATCTGATTATAAAATTTATTACGATGAGACTTTTTTTTATGATAGAATAATCAAATTCTAATTAAACCTCACATCATCAAAGATGCTTAGCATGAATAGCCTAAGCTCATAATATTTAATTCATTCTATAATAATATATAAAGCTGAAGGTAACATACCAAGTCTGATTTTCGCTCGATAGTGTCTATCCGAGATCTTTTAAAACTTCTGAAAATACATCAAACCGTCTTGTGCTACACAGGAATGTTTGCTAAGTTTATTTGGTATTTGATAAAGACACACTCAGTACAACAAATTCTTGCCCAATGATCATCGGTCGACTTTTTATCTTTTCCCGACTTAATATCTTGGCATTTTTCATTTTTCCTAATAACCAGTTATCTAAACTGACCGAAATATGCTGGATTTCAACTGTTTGGCTATCATCAAGTAGTGCATTTCAATTTTCATAGTGCTCTATAAAAATTTCCGATGCTATTTGTTCGACCTAATTTCAGAAATAACTAATTCATGCTAATTCAATGTCAGTCCCAATTTTCTTCACAGCTAAACATGTTTTCCTGTTCAACCAGATGTTCGACGTGATGCCCATTGCAGCAGTTATTTCAAGTACAATGATTTAAAAAAATGTTGGATGTTATTAGATTGAAGTTTTGAAGAACTCTTGCAAAAAAAATTTTTTTATTAATTGAGACACATTTATTGATTGTATTATTAATTATTATTGTCATAATAATTATTATTATTAACAGCTAGTATTATTAGCAATTATTATTATTAATAGTGAACAGTTTTAACACTCATATTTTTTATCACTACGATAAATCAGAAAGAATTTAGAACGTTTCTGTACTGTAGTGGTGGTGGCGTAAATCAATGAATGACTTATCTTGAGAATATCCGTAACATTCCCCGGCCTACGTGCGCAAAGAAGATGAAATTTCTGGAGGAATTTGGTGGCAGATATACTTTATGCTGAACTAAATGCTACAGTAGAAAAGTATTATTAACTGTTAACTGTTTTACAAAATTATTTGAGCTTAGATATGATTGAAAATTGTGAATTAAATAGAATTTTGAGAATAAAATGTGATCATTTCAGAGCATTTGACCTTTCAAGTTTAGGCGTAGGTTATATGTTCAACAAGGAAGGTTTTCAGTCAGTATTAAGTGCATTAAAATAAAAAAAATTAATAAGAACTAAAGAAAAAGGTTTCTCTCACCTGGCTAACATTCTTGGTCACTGGTTGACGATGCAGTCGGTGTGGTTCAAAATTTCAATGATGACACCTGTTACACTGTTATTACCTTACGGCATCCATATGTCAATTCTTATGAGTTATTCGTGTTTTCTCTTTTAAATGATCGTCATAAAACAATTTAGTGTAAAATTAATTAATCCTCTAAATTCAGGTTCAACTATAGAGCTCGTATATAGTCACACACATCATATTATTGAACAACTATATCAATTTGAGACCGATGTGGATACAATGACGGTAACCTGTTGTCGATTAAAAGTGGATTAGGGAAAAGCTTTGAAAAAAAAAAAAAAAAATTGACAGAAAGATCAAGATCGGGACTTTGCGATTGGTGTATGAATATTCCACCCAGTTATTTCGATTTAAGGTTTCTAAGATCTATTAAAGAATATCCGTTCGATTTATCATGTTTAGCAATGATGATTCATGAACCTTATAAACCTTATAATTGAAAACACTTTAAATTTTATCTGAATAAAACTAGGAATATTGTAAGAAAGCTTTCCGCAATTAATATGAGATTCAAGTACCAACATTTTTTTTTTTAACTTTTATATTTAAAATTATAAAAGAACTTATTATGCTTTCCCTATTTTCTTAATATCAATGTTTTAGGAATCAGTAAATACTAAAACTTATTTGATACTGACATTTCTTAAGAGCGTGTTTTATTCTTTAGGAACTGTCGTATAGGTTTCATTGTAATCATTCATTTTGTATTCTATCAATGTTACAGTTTTTTTTCGGAAAACTTTACAAGAGCATTAAATATCTCCTAATTATTATTATTATTTTTTTAGCGCACGTCGAGAGAAATAGAAGATGGAGGTATCGAGTCCTAAAGGTTTTCCAATGGTACTCATTCATCTTCAGCATTGGTCACCTGAAATTTATGCATGTATTAATCAATGCAGTAGGGAACTGCCGTATTATTCATTTTCATGTGACCATTATTAGATTGAATGAAAATTTGTGATAGGAAAAAAATTTTCATATTTTCATCGATATTAGATTCATACAATTATATTTGCATAATATTCAAATGTGTTTCTATCCAATCATTTCAAAGTTATTGTCATTTCACTTTTTACTTTACCAGTTGAGCGGTTTTCTCGGCATTTTTTACTTAGATATTGTATTTGAATGAATTGTTGCTTTGTGAGAGAAAAGTGTTACAAATCTATTACGGAAAAAATTTATGTATTTGTGGTGATGGCCAAAATACTTTCTTTCATTCTTGAATATGAGAAATACAAACTATTACTGGCATTCAGAAATTAAAAATTGGATCTCAGTAGAATTTTGAATAAACTAAAAACTTTCATCTCTCGAATCCTATGTTAAAAATTTGGATCAGGAAAGGATAATAAGTCATGAAACTAAATTTGGAAGGAATTGATGATGTAATGTGGATGAAGTTTTCCCTTAATTCAAACAAGGTGATGGCTCGAGATGGAATATGAAGTGCATCGTAAATGAGTTCGAATTGTTCTCAGTGTATCATAGCTATGTTAATAAGTGAATGAATTGCTTCAAATTCAACTTTAAATCTAGTGATATTTGATCAAAACTTTAAACACAAAATTGTAGACCATAATGGTCTGAACTGTACAATCCATTTAAAGTTGTAAACAAGAAGCTAACATATAGGCCGCGTTAAATTTTGTATTGCCGCGCTTCGAATTTATAACTAATTGTTGACAGTTTGTTCTAGTCTAGAAGAAATTAGGGAATAAGTCTGGTATGATTTGGTTACATTACTGGTTCTATAAGCTCTTTGTTTGTTTATTTTCACATGTGCAGGTTGAACTCTAACGATATTTTAGAGATGAAACGGGGGATAGTTGAAATGTCGACACGAGCGGGTCAAGAGTGTGGTGATTTTGGGACAGAAGGATCCGGTGGGAAACGTATGAAACAAAGTTGTTTGACGGATAGACTGTATTTCAACAAGGTTAGTTTCAAATTCAGATATGGTCATATGAGCACTGTTTAGTGTCTAATTTTCTCTCAAATTTTTTGTCTTCTCTCAGGTTTTCTCTGAAACTTGTTATTGGGGAATAAATTTTCCAGAAAATTACATGCTACTCGCAGTTAGAGATTGAAGCAAGAAGAGAGGAGAAGGTGGAGGAGTGAGGGAAGCAAATAGCATAAGATAGTGGAAAGTCATTGAACTGATTTGTACGACTTAACCAGGGAACATTTCCTCATCATGTTTCATGCATGATTGAGGAGTTGTCACCATTCTTTTTCAGGTTGTAGATGTAGATGAAGAGTATAATATTAATGCTTTTTCTTTTGCGGAATTATTAGAACATATCTGTCCTGTGGCATCAATCCATTTTAATTTCATGATCGATCTTCGATGGCTACTTGAGTAAGTACTCTGATATTAGTGATTCTTGGCACTATGTGGTCCATTATCGTATGGAGTCTTGAGCAGATATTTTGAGTAAGTTACGAATGGCAGTAAGTTACGAAATAAAAGCGTGTTCTGTCATGACTGTTACTACTGTTTTGCTAATCTGTATGAATTAAAAGGTAGTTACTTAGATATTATAGTCTGTTAACCCTGTTTATACCAATATTTAAATATTAGTTGCAAATTTACCGGGTATTGCACACTAAATAGCTGTCATATATGAGTTTAAATATTTCATGCCATCTTTTACGTTCTTTAACGTTCTGTTGCCTTAATAAGTGAAAGCCTGAGGGGTTGCATTTAAAGAAGTATTTAAAGTATTTTATTTATTATCTTCAATTCCTTTCAAAGTGATGACAACTTCCCTTAACAAATAAACTGTTGCAAATGTTGATTAAACGGCTGTGAGTTCTTATTAGGAAAAGGGAACTAAGCAATAGTCACTTTATGGTTTGTATTAGCTCTAAAATTGGTTGTCATGTATTTGGTTTTTGTAAATGTCGTTTACAGGCAGTATCCAGCCCGATTGCGACAAGGACCAATTACATTAATTGTAGGCGAAAGAATGGGGACCGATTTTACATTAACTAGAACTGCTGTAAAGCAATGTGGAGTAAATAACGTCACTGTTGGACGAGCACGCCTAATGATACCGTTCGGGACGCATCATTCCAAAATTTCCATTTTTGAAAGCAGTACTGGGAGAGTGCATATTGTCATTTCGACTGCTAACTTGTTAGAAAACGACTGGAATTTCAAAACCCAAGCATTCTATCACTGCAGTGGAATTGAAGTTAGTAGAATGCATGTTTGATATGTTTCTTACGCAGTAGTAATTGTGCCCAATCTTCCTATTAGAAAATAAGTAGAAAGACATATTTGATGGTCGGTACATAACTTCTGAAAATATGCATAGTGGTATCTATAGGATGTTGCTGTCATCTAGAGACATGATGTTATGGATGAGAGGTTTAAAAGTAGAAATGCTGAAGAAATTTTGCTTTTCAGCGGTCTGCCGACAATAGGTGCAACCCAAATGGATCCGATTTCCAGGCTGATTTTGTAAAATACTTGAACGAATATAAAACAAGTCAAGATTGGGGTCTTATTGAATATTGGCGGGATCGTGTTGCTAGCATTAACTTGTCCCATGTTAAGGCACGAATTGTTTACTCTGTACCAGGAGCTCATAAAGGTCATCTTGTTCACTTTTTTTTTTTTTTTTTTTTTATTACGTTTTATATAATTACACGTTGTTAAATTCGATTCATGAAAATTCACTTGTAGTCATGGAATATTGTGGTAGAATAGGTCACAATGGAAAATAGATTTCCGCAGCTTATAGAAAAGATATTGTGAAAAATTGTTTCTGCTCAATTCTCTATGGGACTTGCAAGTAAATTGAAGAAGGCTGTTATGGTTGCTTGTAATTTATGGAAACGTAGTAAGAGGTTAACATCCTCTGAAAGACATTTGATTGTCACCATTGGCCATCTAGTTCAATCTTTTTGGTAATTTTGATGATTTTGTGTTGGTTTGGTGAACAATTTACTAAGACTTCAGGCGTTCAATTAACGAAATATGGTCATCCAAGACTGCGTGTAATACTGAAAGAATTGTTCGGAAATGTAAAAATGGATGAATTCACTTATCATGTTCAATTTAGTTCACTTGGTAGTCTTGGAGCAGCACCGCAATATTGGCTTACGGGACAATTTTTAAATAGTCTTGCTGGTGGTGCAGAAACAGGTCTATTTAAAATTAATTGCTTTTCGTCGGTAAAAAGTTTCTTAATTTTTAAATTGGAGTTCACTTTCTTTCTAATGAGTTGGATAATTTTATAGATGGCAAGCATTTGCGAATTATTTATCCTTGTGTGGAAGACGTTCGAAATTCTAATGAAGGATACCAAGCAGGTGGTTCGTTTCCTTACAATAATAGTGTGGCAGTAAAGCAGCCCTATTTGCTTGATTTCATGTACAAGTGGCGCAGTAATCATCTGGGACGTTCTCGCGCCATGCCGCACATCAAGACATATGCAGCTTTTGCTAAAAACTCTCTAAAGCCACTTTGGTTACTTGTAACAAGTGCCAACCTTTCTAAGGTACCCTTTAATCCTTCCGTCCACTCATTTTTGTCTTAAAAGTTTCTATAACTTGTATTAACATTTAATCGAAAACAATCACGTAAAAGTACATTAAACGGAATATTTCTACGGTTATCATTGTCAGTCTACGTTAAGCTGTCGCAGTATATTTAATTTTTTTTAGGCAGCTTGGGGTGATTATCAGTTAAAAAAAACACAATTAACTATTCGATCATATGAATTTGGCGTGTTATTCAATGATCCTGAATCTTTGGATATGTTGCCATATGATTTGCCTTTGACAAAATATGATGACAACGATCGTATGTGGATAGTAGATAAAACATACAGGATGCCAGATGTATTCCAAAAAACCTGGCCGTAAGTTATTTCTGCCAACATTATTTCTTCAGACCGCTATTGAACGCAATGTTTCGCATGCAGGACTAGCTCACCAATATCAGATTTGAATTTTTAAGTGTTTGTTGGTTGTACTTTATAACTTCCGCTTCCGTTTTACATTATAGACTAGAAGTTTATCTTTTTAAATTACGGTTAGGACGTAGAGAATGGAAGTAGTATATTAATATTAAGTGTAACAAGAATTAGAGACAAATGTGTAAATATCATATCAATACTATACTTATATGTATGTATATATATATATATAATCTTCATTTGCATTTCTAAAATTCTTATCAGTTGAGAAAGCTCATCTTTTGTGGTGTTTCATTTAGTTCATTAATGTTAAGGAAAAATTGTCCTTTATCTCATAATGAAGAGAACGGCTTTAGATCTCTCTCAGATCTCAATCTGAATCGTCCAGGTTGTGAATTTATCAAAGTATGGGATTGGCAGTGGTCAGACAATGTTAGTACCCGACGGAGTGATATATATATTAAAAAATCTTTAAGCCAGTTGTCGTTCCTTCTAAGCAAAATTCGAATTCTGAACAACTGAACACTGATAAACAGGAAAGTTAGCGTTGCAAGCCTTTTTTTGAATTCAGTATATTACGGCTGCTATTGCAATGTTTGACAACTGTTGGGAAAAAGGGTTGAATTAAGTTGCTGGATAGTTTTGGCAGTCCTTATGATTGATAAATAAAATGACAGAAATAGATGAAAGCAGTTTCCTTTACTATAATGATTGATATATTCAGTGCACAGAAATGTGTAAATATTCCAGTTTCCCTTGTAATGTATCAATGTATACCTGTAAATAAATTCAATATATCTTTTTTCCTGAATATGAATCAGTTATTTCTGTTTGCTTATTCAACCCTGATCAGAGTGGAATTCAACATATTATCTTTAAAGATATGAAAAAAAGTTTGATTAATGCTTCAGATGAAGTAGGGAGATGTAGTATTTCGAAAGTTTGTGTTTTTAAGTGAATAGATAAAACGATGTGGTACCAAGTGTAGCTTATCTTGTGCTAGAAGTAGTTCAGAAGTAGTTGCCAAGATATGGTTTGGTAATTCGCGTTGGGTGGTGTTCAGGTCTTTATTTCTCTGTAACTAACTTTTTTGTTGTTTTTCGAAATCTTGGTTTAATGATTGCCCTGACTATTGTATGAGACCAACTATTTAATTCTATTTTTTTTTTTTTTTCTCTTTTGATATATTTGATTAAATAGATAGGATTTTAGCTCCTCATATTTAGCTGGTTTGATACGAAATTACGTGTTGAACACTTAGTTGTCCCATACGGCTGTATGCAGCTTCATATTTCTTGAAAATATTTCAAGAATATTACTGTTTATAAATGGTAGGAGGAACAGTTCGAGAACATGATTAAGTTATCGAGTACTTATTGGTCTTGAAAGAAATCGTTTCAAATCTTGCAGTATGGCGAAGTCGGGGAGGTGTGTTCTGTCGTTTGGTGATACTGTACTTTATGAGGCTGATTTGAAAGCGTTAGAAAATGGACGATGGCTTAGTGATCCTGTTATTTCGTTCGCATTCGAATATCTTCATGAGAAAACTTTGGATGAGACTAAGAAAAGCAAAGTTTGTACCTACATCATTGTTATTTGTCAAAGAAAGGAAGTATTAGCCGCAAGTCGTTAAAATTGAGACCTGATGAAAAATGTTTTTGGCAACCGGATAGTCGGCCGTAGTTGTACAAGGTAGTGAGCGGGATCTGTGTCAACACAGTGAAACAGTATTGAGAGAGTTGAGATCAGACATGAAGAAAAGCAGTCATTAATTTCAGATCAGCTTTGTAAATGCAGCGGTGTGTCAGCTAATTAAGCTAACCAAAGCAAATGAGGTGGCAGACCTTCTTGATGAGCTTACACTTAAAGAAAAAGAGCATGTTATTTTTGTTGTGAACGATCATGACGATCCGTCAAGAAGTGGTGGAAGTCACTGGTCATTGCTTATTTGTCGCCGAGATCTTCGACCTCATTTTCTGGTCATTGACAGTGCACAAGGTACCAGTTCAGCGAATCGCAAACCGACGGATAAGGTATGTATTTGTTGAACCTGTCAAAGAAGGCTTCTGAAAACAAAGTATATGCTCTAACAAACCTACTGCGAAAGGAACAGTGAAGAATTAGCAACATCGTATGACTTGTCACTTTACTGATGACAGTTTGATTTTGGTATAATTATGATGAAGGAATTAAATATGCCTTATTCAGAAAAGGACTGAAATTGCAGAATCAGTTAAAAGGCCATAACAAAACAGTATATTACATTCTACTTGCAAAGCGTTGTTGGAATTATCAAGTGCAGTAGTTTTTGGTTCTTTATTGTTTGTTCATGTATAAAAGGAAACGAAAACTCATACTGATGACAGTTTCATTTAGGTATAATTATGATGAAAGGATTAAATTTCATAGTGATTAGGGTTCTTACAAACCTCAATTAAAATATTCTATTTGAAATGTTATATGAATATCCGGTTAATGCTTAGATTTTTTTTGATTCTTTTTTTTTTTTGTCCTTCAGCTGATTCAAACACTGGCAAGGTATTTCGGACTTCCGATAGATACACGCATTGAACGAGCCACAAAACAGTATAATGGCATGGACTGTGGGATGTTTGTTATCGAATTCACTCGACACTATATCGAGGTTCGTTGAGAATTCGTAAGATTTTATTAATCAAACTACCTAATCTTATTTCATATTTGAGAACTTTTTATGCAATGTATTATTATTCACTTAGCAAATAATTGGACACTGTAATAGGAAAGTGGCTAAATATTTCCAGGTCTACGACAAAATAGCAGTGATGGTAAAGAGGATGTCGAACTACAGTTCATAGTATAAATGCACTAATTTCTTTCCAACTCAGGTTATCCTGATATGTAACTAAGAACGGAATTAAGTTTAAACTGGATATATTATTGAGCGTTATTTGACCTGTTGGAGGTTTGTTCATGCCACTATACCATGTTTAGAAATTAATCAAGTTACAATTTTTCTCAATTTGTAGAGTTTGAAACGGGACCAATTCACTGTTGATTTCACGCAGTTAAACGCAGGTGATGTTAAGAAGCAGCGGAAAGTGTGGGGTTCACTAATTCGTTCACTGGCCGAAGATTAGCAAGGAAATCTCTTCTACGTTATCCATGACACAATATACTTATCGGTACCATACTTTTGCCGTAGCAGTAACTAACCGCAAATTGTCGAGCTTTTTTGGTGCACAGTGCCTATTATTTTTTTCTTTTTATTGTTTATTTTGTTTCTTTGTTCACTTTTTATTTCACCAGTGAAATAAAATTGCTTTACTTGAATTAAAATTGGTATCTATTTAGGCAGTTAATTCCCATCTCCATTTGTTTTCCAGTCCATGCTCCGTCATATGCAGTGCAGTCCAAATGCTATCCAAGAATGCAAACATTTCTGTTTCCGAAAATATGCTCACAATTACTTTGCAATATCTCCAAAATTTTCCCTGCATTGTTTGCATACGTAGCAATTTATTTAGTATCGTCTTTTTTCCCTCTATTTGTGTTTAACCAAATAGTCGTTCATTAATGGTGCATCATACAAATGACTGTTCTTGTTGTTCCGGTTCACCGCAACACATTAATAAGTTATATGTGGAATTAGATTGTCAACCTATAATCTTATTTTTTGAAAGAGAAGGGACTGTAGTGTCAACGAATTGTGTTACTTTAAATAGAAATTATAGATTTGTTCTGTAGACTTTTCTTTCTTTTTAGTAGTTGTTTTGTCGTTGCTTTTTTTTGTCAATATTTCTTAATCATTCTCTCAAATATTGATGCTATTCGGGTTTGTTACCAATTTTTACAGTAGTTTATTTCACTTCAGTTATCTAATTATCGCTGCTTGTGTCATGATGTAAGCGTCACTTCTGGTAAAAGTTTAAAAGTGAGAAGGAAATGCAAAAAAAAAAGCCAAATTCCATTGATTTTCTATTTAAGGTGAAGTGTTGTTTAACAGAGGAAATGGACAATTTAGTCTGACAACCGTTATTTGTTATTCATGGTAGATTTTGTCTGTGATTCTAATGCTACAGTTACAGATATACAGAAAAAAAACTATGGAATACAAGAAACAGCTAGCATGTAATTTCTTTATTGCTTAATACTATGTGATGTTTAGTAAGCAGTATGATCTCCCTTCATTAATTGTACTTACAAATAAAGCATTATATTTTTTAAAATTTCTTTGTGACGTGAAAGACATTCCGTTATGCTACTATGGAAGAAAATGCGTTTTCACTTTATGAATGTGTAAATTCCATGGTTGTTTGGGATGATATTGCATTAACAGTCCCGCTTTTTTGGATTACATTTTTTTAGGAAAGTATTAAGTTACAAACAAGTGTTTTTTTGCCGTTTTCAATTTTTATTTTTATTACGCAGATGTAATATGGTTTTGTTTGGGTTGTCTTTCACGTTGTAATATGGGAAGGTATACTCAATTTTGAAAGGGGTTATCTTCAGTGAATTCTTACATAATGTTTGGCTGCTTAATGACTATTGTTTTTATAAATTGCTTTGGATGATATATGGTGTAGCTTCAGTGGTTTTGATTGTTTCCTTCCAATTTTTTTAGAAATGAAATGTACTGCGTTTGATTTTTAATTCTCTCTGTTGCGTTAATGTAAGGTCTTTATTCAGGTTAGATTTTTACATCGTAGTAACAGAAATTTCTTTGGTTTGTGCTGGGTTAATCTGAAACTGTTCAGAAAGAGCTGGTTACAACGACATTTTGTTGTGGTGAAATTAAAAAGTAGTGATAATGAAGAAGTGTGGACTGGTGATCCATTAAAAGTAAGGTGTAGATATGGAAGGTGAGTGTTTTTCATAAATTTTATATTTTTATAAATAAAATTTTTTACAAATTTATTGGATTTTTCTTACAAATTTGAACAAGCAATGATCGCACGTGTCAGTAATCAGTCGAATATCTACAAATCCATTTGAACCGATGCTTACAGTATAGTCTTCGTTACTTCGATTCCCTAGTTTCTGTTATGAAATGTTGCGACTCTATCTTGAGGTATTAAGCTCACTGCATCGATGTTTTTCGATGATCTCTTTGTTTTTGAACCGCAAAGTTCTTATTGTATCGCTATACATGCACATTATCCCATAGAACTTGATGTTCTTCCATATTTTGAATTCTTTTAGACCACAGTATTTTCATGATTCCGAAATTTATTTAGTGATTTGAATTTTTCTTCGGAACAGCCATTAAGCTACTGTTATATATTACTGTTGTTTGTGTTATTAGCTTTTGGTTTTTAATAAAAGATAGTATAATTCAAAAGTATTAATCTCAAATTTTAAATGATTTTAATATGGAAAGATTTTGGATTTCAGTTTACACCCTAAGGAATGTTGTGTGCATTTAGGGATTGTAAAAGAGTTCATAACGATATGTAAATCATTTAAAACGAAACGAAAATGTGCGCTTCATTTGAATCACATGTGTCAATTCAAATTATAATGCTGGAAGATCATTCAAATATTTTGAAGATGTGGCATTCAAGGATATTGATGCAATGTTGCACTTCATGGTACGCGGTTCGAGTTGGAATTAATATAGGAGTTTTGGAGAAATCCATAGGAGCTCGAAGAATCAAAAAGCATTCTTTAATTATTTTCACTTCCAAGATGTATTCGGAACAATCATTAAGTAAGTTTCGATTTTAAAATGAATAGGATTGATGATTGATTAACTCCTGACTGCGGTAACTGTCCTCATATAGAGACGGTCAATGTTGATATATGCATCAAGTTAATTGCAGTCTCTGAGCGCGATTTCTTTCTTCTCTGGAATATTTTTCTCCTGATATCTTAAATGTAAACTTTATGTATTTCAGACTATAACAATTTCTGTTTGAGAGTGCTTGTCCGAAAATAATCCCAGTGAGTAGTTTAAACCATATAACTTGGCTACTAACAATATAAATTTGTTGGAGGTTTTCAAATACTATTGCTCCATTACTGGAACATACTTTACACCAAATTATCAAATATTCTTGGTAATCATAACATATACTTCCCCAGTATACAAAAGAGAAAAGAAAAACGGTTCATCGTAGCTAGCGTGTAGTTTCCTTTTGATAATAATCATAGTGCAATATTGATTTCTTCATTTTGTTGTCAGTTGTTTGTTACCAAAGTATATGCTGAACCACTTCGTTTAACTGTTATCGATCACTTCATACAATTAACGGCGAGAACCAAATCAAAGAATAAGTATACTTTTTTTTTCCAGTTTTCATGGGATAATTTAATATTTCTAACATCCTGCATTTTTCTGTTTTGCCATTCTTTTTTTTTATTATGATTTTTGGTTTTTTCATAGTTTTTAATTGAGTTCCAACACATTAGACAAACACTTGGTGCAAATAAAATTGCAATACACACATAATACAGCTGAACTCACTAAAAAATGTGACTCTAAGAATTACTGTTTTTTAAATGTTAATGAAAGATTATCATTAATGGATACGTTATTTCATCCCAAATCTACTATTCTGTGGTGCTATTTTTTTCTTTATAATTTTTCATTAACCAAAAATTTCTAAAACCATTTAAAATAAGAATTAAGAATATGAAAATAAGATGTATGTGCGTGATAGTGCAGTAGGTTGAATTTTTTTTTATTGAAGTATTTCCCCTTAAATGCCATTTAAGCATGCGATTAGTGAAAGTTTTGTGGTGATTAAATTTTTTGTTTTTTATTGCTGGGAATGAGCAAGTATCTATGATATATTTCATATTGCTTTTAGTTGACATTGTCCCGACAGTTAAATATATGATCTGTTTTCCACTCATCTATTATTTCAGAATTATCAGTGGAATGTTAACATTCAACATACTTACCTTTCTTGAGAAGATATGTGCAACCAGAGAATAATTGAATTCAGAGATGAAATTATTTCTTCACGAAAGAATTATCCATTTGTAATCAGTGTATTATTAAAACTGGAAAACAAGTCCCGCCTATAGAATTACTTGATGAAAAAATGAAAGGAAGTGTAAAAAATTTTCACCAGTTCACAACGGTACCTTTGTTCTGTATAACTGTGAGAAGTTAGTTAATCAGTTCAGTGACGGCTAGCTTAGTGAGCCGGAATTTGCTTAGTCTTCTCAAGTATTTATTTAAATTAAAAACTGGGTAAGTGAAATCAAAAAAAAAATTGGAAACTTTGTTCACATTGAAAACTTTTCATAATAATATGTTAGTAAGGATATAACAGATCGGATGATTAATCACTTTAAATTAGACTGGTGGGTTTTATGTTTACTCAGATTTATCTGTGTAAAAAAAAAAAAAAAAAAGATTTTAAGAATTAAATTCAAATTTGCTTGGAGTAATATTCGGTGAAAAAGATTACCAAATGTTTTCTAATTTTCTGGAACATTTTGCGTAAATGTGTGGTTTGAGGAAAATTGTACAAACTACATGAGTCGTGCAACGCATATTCACGTGCTAACAATGTAAAAAATGTTCTTAACAGCGTTGTAATATGTTAAGCTGGTTTTAATCGAAGCAAGCTGGAAGCTTTTATACGTTGCTACAACTGGATAACATGTTCTCGGAATGTTGGTCGCAGCGATGTCTCACGTCAACCAAATTCAGCAGTTCACAATTCCTGTAATTACAAATCAACATCAGGTTATCAATTTAAAAACATTCCTTTATATAGGATCATATTATTGAAATTGTTTGTTGGTAACAGTCCATACACGTACTTTTTTTTTTTCGATTTCTCTGAAGTGTTACTGTAATTTTGAGAAAGGACTTAAAGAAAAGAAGAAAGGAAAGGAAGTTCAAAAGTAGTTTTGAAGAGGGCGAACACAACATATATATATATATATATATATATATATATATATATATATGTGTTGGAACGTTTCAGTATTTTGTACATTGTAATAGAGGGTGGTAACAATTTCGCAAAAAAGAATTTTTTCATGAAAATTTTTTAATTTTTTTCTTGTTGTGGGAAGGAGAAGAGAGACGTACGATTTCTGTTGGAATCAAGTTCAACCCATAAAAACTTTTTTCCAAGTATTAATCACCTAGGATTTGTTGTCTATGTCATATACTTGA